GCAGGTTCAAAGGGAATGAACGGGGTTTGGTGGCAGCCCCTCGCTGTGATGATGCCCACGCTGCCAGTAGGAGAAGGGAGCAGCGTAGGGGCTTCAGAAATTCAGGGAAGAACGAAAGAGGAAGGCAGATTTCAGAAGTGCCTGCATCTAGCAGATGACAAAACAGAGCCTTTGTTTTGACTGCTGAAATGGCATGCAGTCAAACTTCTCCAAAACGCTTTTACTTTCAAAAATAAAGAAAGGTGTTGGCAACATTTTATTTCCAACATACCTTAACATTTGGTATTGAGGAAGCATAGGAAATACCTTCCCCCAGAAACTGTCTTACAAAAACAAATCTCATCTTTGTGGCTCTACGTTGTCAGCTGACAGTGGTTCTTGAGAGGATGCAGAAAAGCAAGCTAAGGTAAACCTGAAGACCTAACTGCACAGCAGGCACACAGAGCAGTGCTTTTAAAGCCAGGAGAGAACCAGGAGATGGCTGAGACAGGAAGATACCTTTGGCTGTCATCTAGTCTCACCCCTGCTCAGAGCATGTTGCACAAGACCAAGGTCAGTCTGGTCTTCAATATCTCCAAAGATGGAGACAGCATAGCTGCTGTGGGAAACCTGCTCCACTGCCTGACCATCCTAACAGATGACCAGCAACAGAGTTCTCTTACATTTACACACAATTTCCTTAATGTCAGTCTACAGCCTCTTGTCCTGAGTACCACTGAGCAGAATTCCAGATCCCCCTCCTTAACCAGCACCCCACGAGGTTCTTACAGCCATGGGTGAGACAGCCCTAAGCCTTCTCCTCTCTGTGCTCCAGTGTTTCCACTGGCACTTTGTCATTCAAAATGAGCACACCAAGAGGGTGAAGACAAGGTGTCTTAAACTAGGCAGACCCTGAATAGTAGCCCTCTTTTTACAGAAAGAATCCTGATTAGGTGGTGGCCAGGTGATCCAAATACATTTCTAAATGGGACTGAATAACGGAAGACAAAAAAAATCCTTACTATAAACTATATATAAAAATACATGTAAACTCTTTTTAATATTAACTATAAACCAACACTACATCTCCAACTGACTGCTGCATGCCGACAGTAAAACCACAGAGGAGGAGCATGGCAAGGACTGAGCAGCCACAGAAAGGAACCAGGTGCAGCATACCTGCAAAATACCTCCCTGCAGGATCTACTTTCCCATCGTTGAATCGGTTCTTTGCTTTATCTCTGTCCACCTGAGCAATGGGGGTTACCAATTGCTCTTTCCATTTCAAAGCAGCAAACTTGGTTCCCAGCGTGATGACATAATCCCCCGACTTCCGAAGAGCCACAGAGCTCACAGAAGCATCTAGAAACAGGAAGGGAGGAAAGTGCCAGTAATGGCAGATTAGTATACAGTAGTTAAATAAAAACTAAAAAAATCAGTGTGAAGATAACATCTCTGTAAAAGCCTCCAATAAGATGCAACATAAAGGAGAGCAACTTCAAATAAAGCAATAAAATCTGAGATAGGATTTAACAGAAAAGACTTAGGAATATGCATGGGACTGATCACCAACTCTCTAACTAAAACATTTGCCATATTTATAGCTTTGCAGAGATATAGTTTTGCTAATGCAACCACCATAAGCCATCCATGCTGCCAAAAGGAGCTGCTCCCTGGTGGCCACCAGTTCGTGGCACCCTTTGGTTTGTAGCCCCACCAGAGACACCACCACACAAGAAACACAATGCAGGCACTGCCCAACTGCATGTGTGCATGGGGAATGGGGAGCAACACGAGGGCAGAGCTTTAGGGTGTGAAGTGTTCCAGCCACCCCACTGCTTCCCAGACCCTTGCTTTCTCCATGCCTCTATTTGCAAAGAGGGCACATTCACCTTTTCATATGACTTGCTGCACTGAACCAGGGCTGCCAGGAGCTCTGCTGGGCCCTGCTGAGGATGTACACGTGCAGCAAAGACAGCACTGTATCAATATGGCACCCTCGTCTCCCCAAGCTGCAGGGTCACCAGCCCCAAAACTCTGAGGAGCAGCACTCATTCCAGGTTCAGTTTGGCTAACTGTCCCACTCAGGAGCGTGAGCACACTGCTGAAGCTGCAGGTAGTCCTGGCTCAGCTGTGCTGGCAAGTGGATGCTGCTTTCTTCTTCCTGGTAAAGCACTGCAGGAGAAAGGGTACAGCAGGCCAGAAAGATGGAAGCAGCCACCACACTGCTCCACTTAAACACAGTGTAAGCAACCATACCAGCCCTCATGTCTGACTTGGCCACAGCCACCTAGAGGGCTTTGCTGAGGAGCACCCATTGGAACTGCCCTTCTTTGCAACACCATTCTAAGCTGCACAGGAAGGTGGCTGTAAGGCCATAGCAGCCTTCTGCCTGATGAGCAGAAAAGAGCATCTAAAGCTGTTGCTAACTATAGGGTACCATAATTCTCTGTGAGCCTCAGTAATGCATCATTTCTCTCTCGTTTTCCACTTTGGACATCAACCCACTGTTTTAACTATGTGGCACTCTCTGAGTGTTCTTTTTTTTTTTTTTCTGTCTATACATTGTGGTATTCTCAAAGGCACAGCTATTCATTATGACTATCTTACTACTAAACAGAGGAAATGGAAGGAAGTTAAAAATACAAACAAACAAACCTGAAGAGCAGCTACTTTAGCTGCTACCCCTCCTACGTTTGCAGAAGCTGATCAGGAGACCTGAGAGCAGCCTTTCTGTATCTAAATGGGGACTATAAAAAAGAAGGGGACAGACTCTTTAGCAGAGTCTGTTGTGATGGGACAAGGGGAAATGGTTTCAAACTAAAAGAGATTTGGGTTGTGTATAAGGAAGAAGTTTATTTACAGTAAGGGTGGTGAGGCACTGGAACAGGTTGTCCAGAGAAGTGGTGGATGCCCCATCCATTCAAGGTCAGGCTGGATGGAGCTCTGACCACTCTGATGTAGCTGTAGGTGTCCTTGTTCATTGCAGGGGGGTTGGACCTTTAAGGGTCCCTTCCAACTCCAACAGCTCTATGATTCTCCAGTCACACCACCTGTGTGGCCCAAGCCAGGAATGCAGAGAGTGGGCAGTGGCACTGCTGCAGCCAGGTCAAGGGAAGGGAGTTTGGGAAATAATGCTTCCAAATCAGCGTAACTCCTCCTCTCATCTTGAAGCTGGTAGCTATGCTGATTTTAGGGTCAGAAAATCCAGGCCAAGGAGGTGTTGGGTAGGCAAACCAAGTGTCTTTCACCATGAGTTACTGACATAGCATTAAAACCCAAGCTAAAAAATGTCAGGAGCTGTCCTGAGACAGACCCACAGAAATTTACATTATCACTTCCAGAAGTTAATGTGCAACTGTTTATTAGCGCTAGCACGCCTCTTCTTTTCTGGAACAAAGCCCTAAACCATTGAACACAACCAACCATTGCGCATCACAGAATTACAGAATAGCCAGGGTTGGAAGGGACCTCAAAGATCATGAATCTCCAACCCCCTGCCACAGGCAGGGCCACCAACCTCCACATTTAATACCAGACCAGGCTGCCCAGGTCCCCATCCAACCTGGCCTTGAACACCTCCAGGGACGGGGCATCCACAACCTCTCTGGGCAGCCTGTTCCAGCACCTCACCACTCTCTCTGTACAGAACTTAAAGAACTAGCATCACCAAGCATCACAGCAGCTCCTTACCCATGGACACAGCCTGCACCTGCCCGCTGGCCGCATTCCAGCGGCACACCTTCCTGCCCGTGATGTCCACGTACAGCAGCGAGTTCTCCTTCTCGTCCCACACCGGAGACTCCCCGAGCCTGCAGCGGTCACTCCCGATACACTCGATCTTAACGGAGGACATGCCTGAGGGGAAAGCACAGCTGTACACATCTGCGGGCAGCGGGAGGGCAGCGCGGCAGGGCACACGCGGTTCTCCACCGCGAAGCCGTCACGGCCAGCACGGGAGCCGCTCGGCCCAGGTCTGTGCCCGGCCCTCCCCGATCGCTCTGCCGCGCCTCTCGGCGCCGCAGCTCTCGCCGGGCGTTGCGAGTCGTACCTGAAAGAAAGAAACAGTCGATCCCAGCGGTAACAGCGCGCCTACCTGCTGCCGGCCCGCACCGCCGCGCCAGGCCCGACGCCGCCGCTCTTATACGGCGGGAGGCGGGGGAGGCGGCCACGCCAGCCCGCGGCCGAGGGGCAGCGGCGCGGGGCCGGGCCCGGCTGGCGGCCCTCCCCGGGGCACTGCGGGGCGGGGGCCGAGCCGGGCAGAGAGCGGACGGCGGCATGGCGCGTGGTCACGTAGTCGCAGTGGTACTTCCGGAGGCACTGAGACACGAGGTGGGCAGCCGGGCTTTCGTGGCCCTGAGCCGGGTCTGCGCACAGAACAGTGCGTTTCACTCACAGTGCTCACCTCGCTCGTAGAATGACCGAATCCTCCCCTACGACGGACAGGCTGAGGGAGCTGGGCTTGTTCAGCCCGGAGAAAAGAGGGCTGAGGGGTGACCTCACTGCAGCCTTTCAGTACCTAAAGGGAGCCTACAAACCGGAGGGGAATCAACTCTTTGAAAGGGTAGATAACAGCAGGACTAGGGGAAATGGTTTGAAGTTGAGGGAGGGAAGATTTAGGTTGGATGTCAAGGGGAAGGTCTTTATAGAGAGGGTGGTGAGGTGCTGGAACAGGCTGCCCATAGAGGTTGTGGATGCCCCGTCCCTGGAGGTGTTCAAGGCCAGATTGGATGGGGCCCTGGGCAGCCTGGTTAGTATTAAATGGGGAGGTTGGTGGCCCTGCATGTGGCAGGGGGTTGGAGATTCGTGATCCTTGAGGTCCCTTCCAACTCAGGCCATTCTGTGATTCTGTGACCCAAGGCAAGTTATTACTGACTGCCAGCACAGAAAACAAACATCCAGGAAAAAGAAGTGCCACAGTAGCTCTGGGTTTTGTGTATTTCACAAAGGAAGTTAAAAGGTAAAAATAAAAATAAAAAATCATTGAGAATTTAATCATAGTATCAAGGTTGGAAAAGACCTCTGAGATCACTTAGTCCAACCATCAGCCCATGCCCACTGACCACATCCCTCAGTGCCATACCCACACGTTTCTTCAGCACCCTCAGGGACAGTGGCTGCACCACCTCCCTGCACCATCTACCTCACCACTCTTCTTAGATGAAAATTTTCTCATTATCCAGCCTGAATCTGCCCTGGCACAACCTGAGGCCATCATTCTCTCTCACCCTATTGCTGTTACCTGGTTCAAGAGGCCAACTCACATCTCATTACAACCTCCCTTCAGGTAGTTGTGGACAGTGATAAGGTCTCCCCTGAGCCTCCTCTTCTCCAGACTTAACAATCCCAGTTCCTTTAGCCCATAAGATTTGTGCTCCAGACTCCTCACAGCTTCATTACCCTTCTCTGGATACTCTCCAAGGTCTTGATGTCTTTCTTGTAGCGAAAGGCCCAAAACTGAACGCAGTACTCAAGGTGAAGCCTCACCAGTACCAAGTACAGAGGTAAGTTGAAACTCAGCTGTCGCTTTTCACGAAGCTCAGCCATGTGTGCTGCTCTCCAGGTGCACACAAGTGAGGCCATTGGGTGCACGGCCAATCAACAGCTCACTGCCTTTGCCAGCAGGAGATGCTCACAGCCCTGCCCCACTAGCGAGCCTCTGTGCTCCTCACTGACCTCGGCCTTTGCCAGCGTGGTTAGAGAACATCTAAACAGGCTGTGTATTGACACACACCTTGGGTGAAAATTAACAGATGATGCACGCTCCAGGTTACAACACCAATTCTCCCTTCTGCCAAAGCATCAAATATTTTGAACTTAGACCTCTAGTTATGTGGCACAGTGCTCCTTTGACTTTTCTGTAATTGCTAACCCAGGCTTGCTGAAAGACAAAACCGAGGAATTTGTGGCTTCATTCACTCACGAGTGACTTCATGAAGACTGACTTGGCCTCAGGTTTAGCAGCAGTGGAAGAGAGATGCCAAAGGAGCTGGCCACTTCCCACTGCTGCACTGCAACCACGATTTTTACCACATGATGAGTGCTAGGGGGCACACAGCACCCCTGTGGCTTCTCACCAGCCAGTGGCTCAGAGGTGCTTGGTGAGCCCGCCTGTTGCTGCACCTGGTAGGGCTCCTTGCACTCACTGTAATCCAGTTGTATGGGAGTGGTGCATCATCACAACCACTAATAGCACAAGGCATGAGAGATCCCACAAGGGGAAAAAGTAGCCCCACCCAACGAGAGAGGGTGGTAGACAACTTCATGGCTTGTAAAAAGAAAGCAGTTCTTGCATGTGCAGCTTCCTGAGAGGCTGCAGTTCTTTCTTCTTTTTCATGAGCCCAACCCTGCTGTTTCTTCATTTTTAGAGCCATCTCTGTCTTTTCTTTATTTACTTTTCTTAGTATATAGCTGGGGAAAGCAAGATGAGAAGTGGACATTGCCACACAACACATTGCCATTGTGTTTGTTTTCAGCCAAACATAATTCATGGAATGAGCTTTCCTGCCTGGATCAAGCTTTCATCTGTCAGCAAGCAGCAGGTAGGTGAGCATGCTGAGAGCTCACAGCCATGTACTGCTCTGGGTGATCACAACCATGTCTGTAAGCGCTCACATGATTTGAACATTTGCCAAAGCTCAGCATTTACCTGCTTTGCCTCCTTGAGTGAAGGCAGCACAAGGCTGGTAAGCAGCAAACTTGTGCCCGCTGATTATTTTATATGGTATCTCAAGTCTAACACACCTTGCTAGCACGCTGTCAAGGAAGTGAACGCAGAATGGATTAGGAGTCCTAAATGGGGGAGATCTTTTCTAAAAAGGATTGCACCAAGTTACCATGAAGTTGTATCAAAGCATTTAGCCCTAGAAGACCAGTTTCTGTCACAGAACTATCAAAGGTACCCTTTACTTGTTAAGATTTATTGGGCAGGCTTCTTTAAGCATCGCTTCTTGTGTACTGGGCGCAAACCCAAGTAAAAGCATCGCAGAATGGAGTGCTATAACCGAGCACACGGTGTGGCCCCTCTCGCTGCAGATGGTTTCTCAAACACCGCTCACACTGCCACATGTGCCTCCCGACTCCTATGTCAGCACAGCACCTGCTAGCACTAGTTCCTGCCATCCCAGCCACCTCACAAAGCTCGAGTGTCAGGCCGGGCCTCTGCAGCTCTCCGCTCCGCCAGTGAGGAACAGGGTGCCTCAGAAAGGGTGAGCATTCTTCCAATGGAGCATGGCCAAGAAATGTTTCCTAATGCCTTGCTTTCCTGCTCTTTGTACCCCGTGTGGCCTGGATTTGCATTTTGCTTGCCTTGGGAAAAAGAAAGATCATTGATACGTCCTGTGGCAGCTGCAGAATTACAGCCACAATGGCGGCAGTATCAGTAACAGTGCCTTCAGTGTTCGCAGCTCTCAGGCACACAAGCCCTTCTTCAAGCCCAAGTCAGAAGCAAACCTCAAATTAACTGCAGGTTTGGGACAACTGCTCTGAGTTTAATTCAGTGCATTCAATCAGACAATTTGAGAGAAGTCTGTTTTCCGGACTAGCTGCCTGTGACCCATGTAAACGATGACTTGCATCACCTGGCCTACCCATTTCTCCACCTTTAGTCTTATTTTGGCCAGGGGAGGCCAGGGGACAGAAGGTAAGCCTGTGTCCTTTCGGAGATAGCAGAACAATGCTGAGCCATCAGCTGGAGGAGTGGAGCTGTCTGGCTCATCCATCCAGATGCAAATGGAGCCTAACTTATCAGTGATGGCGGGAAGCACCACCCCAGGAGATAAGAGAGGTGGAACCATGGAGGAATGCGCCCAGAACCAACTGATCAGGTGGCAGCGGGGGGCCCATGGGAATAATTTCTCCCCTCAGCTATCTCATCCCTGCATTTCTGGAGCCAACACCGTTTTCCCAAGTGGCACACAACACATTCTCTTTTCCTAAGTGCCATCCCCAGCAGGCTCCCTGTGGTTACCGAGGCCTCGGCAAATATGAGGAGCGGCGTCTTGATGTCAGTCACAGGCTCAAAGGCTTTTGGACGACCAGAAAGTTTCCTGAAGACATCTTTTATGCATTGCTGTTGTATAAGGTTTGGAATTCCTCCTGAGGTCATGGGCCCACCAGTCTGGCTGGAAGAACACCTCTGTAGCCATTAGGGCACCCTGTAAAGGAATGCATGTCGCAGTGCCCAGTGCTCATCTCCAGGATGAAGGCAGGTGGGGCAGCACCTGGGGGAAAACAAGAGACTGGAAAAAATGTCTTGAGGATGGCAGGGTAAAAAGAAGCCATAAAGGTGTCATTAGCAAGCCTAGCAGATTTAGAACAATGCCTCAGATAAGGCGGCCCAGCCAAAACAGATACCAGCTTCAGGGCTCTGGGAGAACAACAGCCCCAAACAAAAGGCAGAAAGGCAGGGCAAGGTGGATCTAGGACACAGCCCCAGCCATGAGAGGCCTGCTGGAGAAAGAGATTATCTGGAAGCTTTACTCATAGAGGCAGAGAAATTAATGGGCAAATACCTAAGGCTGCTTCTCCTTACACAGCAATATAAATTTACCCAAGCTACATGTGAAGGAATTATCTTTAGAAACACATGCATGCACATCTGCTATTTGAAAACAACTGCTGTGTAATTTTTAGAGGAAAAAAATAGTTTTGCTTCAAGAAACTGTGCTTGCTGTCCCAGCAATCTAGTTCTGCCCTATCACTGAAGAAGAGCCCACTTGCTGGAGTGGAGTGGAACTCCGGTGCAGTTATTCCAGGATAGAACCACAGAAATCGTTGGGTTTGGAAGGAACCTTTGAAGGTCATCAAGTTGAATTTCCCTGCAGTGAAGGGGGATGCATACAGCTACATCAGGGTGCTCAGAGCCCTGTCCAGCCTGTTGGGGATGGCCCAGACTAGTGGGCAATGCTGCAGAATTGCACCCTAGAAGGTGCCAAGGTTTGCTGTGCCATGATGCTGGCATAAAGGAAGATTAAGAAGCAGAACCAGAACCCAGGACCCTGCAAGTCTTCACATATCCCTAAAGCAGCAGTACTAAGCCACCCCATTGTTCCTTCTCTCTGCCCTTTGCCAGTACTTTTCCCTTGCATGCCTAGCTCCCAGATTGTGCAAGGAGCTTCCTCTTACTCATTAATTCACATCAAATGAGTGTTTTCCCAATAGATGTGTCAATTCCCTGCAGTGCTATACCCATCATAGGTACTAGGATCATATGAGTTCACACCGATCGTGATGACTGGCTTGTCATGTTATCTCAGTTCACACAGGTACATTTAGTAATTCAGGTACTGCGCACGCTTCTTGCTCTGCCACCTCTGCCACACAGCCTGCATGGCTGGGCATCACCCATGGTGGCAGTGAGATATGACATCAAAACCAAGTGTGGACTTTAAAGGTTGTTTTTAATAGTCAAGCATTTGTCATTTCTCCTTGTATGGTTTGGGATTCATGATGCAAAGGGAATGTTATACAAAGAATGCATGTAATGGCAGAGCCAAAGCACCAGTTACAGTTGGAAAGTGTTTTCTCTTTAGGCAAAGAGAAATCCAGAGACAGTGGTGCTGGGAATCACCATGAAGGCCCTGCTTATGTTTGGGAGAGTTCGGCCCAAGTTACCATCAACAAGTAACCAGACTGTCATGGCTGTCGGAATTCTCATTTCTAATGACTGCAAACCAGCAGCAGCTGTTCAGAAAGGAAACAAATGGCAATACCCATGTCCTTCTTTGTCTGTCTTTCCCACATCCCAGGGACAACCGGACTGTACTTTCAAAGAGATGAGAGGCCACCAGTCAAAAAGCCACTAAAAGGCAGCCCCTTGCTGGAACCAGCAAGCACACCTTCAGGGAAGAAATCTTTGTCCTAAAAATCAGCTGACATTCTATCACTCATGGCGTCTTCCTACTGCTGTTCTTTTCCTCTCCTCTGTACGCACCTTCATTCCCCTTTTCCTTCTTCCATTTGGTTTTCTTCCCAGCCGTGGGACTCAGTGCCCCGTTCCAGCTGTCCCACTCCAGCTGGAGTTAGTACGTCCACTCACACACACATAGTTCAATGCTCTGCTCCTGTCTCACTTCACCATGGTCTCAGGCACACACACACCCCGTCCCCGTCCCCGTCCCTCCTGGGCAGGAAGGATGCTGTCGGGGTTGCACAGCTGTTCGCTCTCCATCCTTGCTTTAGCTGCCTCCTTTCCTGCTTTCTCCCCAGCCCTGGGGCAGCAGCAGCTTTGGTCAAGCAGCACGGTACAGCATAGCATCAGCCTGTGTGAGGAGGGGGAACTACAGCAGTACATCAAGCAAAACCCACACACAGCAGCAGCCCGGGAAGGGGCTCGTGCCAATCTGTTCCTTGTACAGCACCAGCCAGTTATTTGTGCACGTGTGAGAGCGTACAGGAAGAGGGATGAGGCAGGCAGCCAGGCCTCAGATCCCTCTCTATAACTTAATTTGTACAACCAAGAGAAGCAGACATACTGAAACACGAGCAGACAGACAAAAAAGTGAGACCAGTGCAGCAAATGGTCTGTCACATTTGCTGGGCTAGGCAGAAACCAAAGCCAGGCATGGACTATTTGCTAAATACAGCACATCAGTGCTCAGTGACTTTTTGGGGGGCAGGCTGAAGGGAAAAAGTTTTCCTTCACGTTTTGGCTTGTTAAAGTGTTACAAGCTCAAGTGGAAATGATTTACTCCTGATGGATGCGGCGCTGCTGTTGGACTGATGAGTTTAATAACCTACGGACACGGAGAGTGAAGCCCTAAATAAATCACAACAAATGAAAATACTGTTAGCAGTTTCATAATTTAATGAAAAAGTACTTGTAAAAAGGGGACATCTGAAAAAGACCGAGTCCATCTTGGAAAATTGAATATATATATATATATTTATATATATAAAACAAAATGCAAAAACACAAAAAAAAAAAAAAAAAAAAAATCAACAAATAAGGTTAAGAGGTAATACTTCAAACAGTTAGCCACCGAACACACAATAAAAACTAGCAAATGCACTTTGGGAACAATACTTGAGAACTACACAACCAAGGGCTCCTTCATATATCTATTAAAATCACGTAAAAATTAGCAAAACTGTTGCCCAGGAATGAATAACCCCAGAAGAGCAGAAACACTGAGTTTTGCTGAAGCACCATTTTCCTCACCTCCTCCACACGCTGCTGGCCACAAAATGACATGAACACTTTGCTCACCTCCCAGTGCAAGCTGCGTGGAATTTCGTGACCAGGAAGAGGATTGCTAATAAATATCGAAGGAGAACTTAGAGAATCAGAACTGGAACACAAATGAACAGACATCTGTTTCCTTATTCTGAACGGCCCATGGCTTAGAACGCAAAGCATTTCCCTTTAAAATAAAATATGGCGAAACCTAAAATGCTACTGCATATTTACACCAAAAGAAATAATTTTGAAGATACAGCTCTAGAAAGACAAATTACACAAATATACAAAAAATCAAGAAGTGGGAGGGAAAAAAGAAAAAAATAAGATGCATGAAGCAAATAGATTAGAATTGCCAACTATACTGGGTTGTATTTTTTTTATTGTTATTTCACTACAGAAAAGTCCTCCAGCCTTGACCTGCTAGTCCTATTGGAAGTAGAGAGATTTCAAAGGTTAAACCAAATCTGAAAATGTTGCTGTAATTTCCTAAGCAATAATTTAAGATGATAAAGGAAAGCAAGCTGTTGTTTGGGTTCTGCATAGTCATCTTTATGCGGGGTGTGAACCTTCCTAGACAAAATGAGCTCTCTAGGGTGCTGCAGATGGCTGGAACGTGCAGCACAGCTGAGAACACTGCAGTAGTTTTGCCTGGAAAAGGAGAAATTTGTCTCTATTCAAACAAAAAAATCCCGGATCACATAAACAAGCCAGAAGGGGTTTCCCCTTGCTTCTCACCTCCTCCACACCGGTTGAAATTTAAACACCAGTTAACAACTGGCTTTAAAGCACATGCAAAAAGCTTTAGTTTGGGAAACAGCAACTGATCCAGAGTTTGAAAAGCAGCTTAATGGAAGCAATAAGTTTTCAGCAATTAAAAACATATTCCAGATGATGACTGGCTAAAATTTTACAGTCCTAGATGCCAGAAGCAGGGCTCTTAAGCCCACATTTAGGCAGCTAGGGTTGAAAATTTGTGCCTACGTAAAAAATTCGGACAAAATTATTTCTAATTCAGCTTATTTTAAAAACACCAGGTACAAATACCTCTGTACGTGAAAACTCAATTTCAAGAGGAACCTGGCATCACTGGTGATTGCCTAAATGTAAGTGTCAAATAGCATTTTTCTTTGAAGTAGTACATCTACTTTTGTAAACACTATCCACAAAATTAGCCATCTGTACTTGTTAGCTGGGTAAAATATTTACAAGTGCATCCCACAACAAGCAGCTATGTACAGAGATTAAAAAAAAACTGAAGTACTACAAGTTGTATATTTACAAAATAAGCAAATTATTGTGAAGAGAAACACAACCCTCAGCAGGAGCGGGGAGCAAGGGCACAACAGAGGTCAGCAAGTTTGGCAGCTCCAGCGACACCTGCTCCAACTTCCACAAGGAGCCTGCAGACACCCCTGCGGCTGGAGCCCCCCCCCCAGGACGGCAGGGGGCCGTCACTCAGTAGTCGCTTGGGCCTGATCCAGCAGAGCACGCCGGTACGTGCCTGGGGAGCTGAGCCCTGAGCTCTGGGAGAAATCAGCGGGACTCAGCACAGGAGTAGCTCTAACACGGACCTAAAGTGCCTTGCTGGATCAGAGCCGCGCTGCAGGTGCCGTAAGAATGCGGTTTCAGTGTCTCCGTTCGCGGTTCCTTGCAACACGCCAGAGCAATGCAAGGACTTCTCTAATGCCTGTCCACCACAAGACTGACATGAGGTGGACATCTGGCCTCGCGCACGTGCTGGCAAGGAGGAAGCAGTTTCCTGAATTTACGTAAGGATCAACCGCTTCATGCTTTCCCAGATGTTCAACTCTAATAGAACCCATAATTTCTTCGTGGCTTTGCAATAGCTCGGTTAACCTTGCAAAGGCTGCAAGCCAATTCACAGTTGAACAGAACTACTCTGATTTCACTCCCCTTCCCATCTCCCGCTGCAGTTCTTCCTAACGTAGCTCCTGTGCTGTTTTCTGGAACCTGTGGATGCTGAGCTTTGCACTGGTACACCAGAATACACAAAGGCTGAGTTACCCCGTGGGGGCTTCTAATCACCTTTGTACCGAACTGTGAGAAATCATATTCTTTTTGTTTCTATTGTGACACTCTCTTCCAAAGTCCTTACTTGGGCTTTCTCTCTCCGAGCTACTCCGTCTTAACCTCATTTGCTCTTTATTTTCATCGCTTTCTGCTTCAGAGTCACTCAGCTCCAAGTCGGGACAGTACCCATCATTGTCCTGGTACGGAGCCCCTTCGAGCGTCTGCTTGCTCCACAAGCGTTCTTTTGCTGTGAGCCTTCTCGTTGGCTTCTCACAGCACCGCAAATCTTCCGTTGTCCTCACCAGACTGTTAGTGGCCTCCTTAAAGGACCGGCTAAAGTGTTCGATGGTGGATTTTCTAAAGCCGCTCTGGCTGGCCAAATGAGCCGTCAGCACAGACTCCTGTTCAAAGGGCGTCTGGCTGGAGCTGTCCCTCTGGCTCACGTCGCCAGTCCTGCCCATCAGCCCATTGGATTTGGCCACCAGCCGCGAGCCATCCTGCTGCAGCCGCCCATTCCCGATGGAGGACTGTCCGTGCAGAGCAGCCTGCAGTGCCAGGGGCTTCCCTGATGGTTGGCCCCGGTGGAACTCTGGCACCTGCACAAGACCGGAGTCCTTCGCCTCACCACGAGGCTTGCCGATCCCTCCTGTCACAAGCAACCCATTACTTCTGGTGTCGTGCTGATACCTGGGGTAAGATTTGGCTTTGATTTCAAATGCTTCCTTTGACATCGGCACGCTCCTTTTGCTGTAAACAGTGCTGTTGTTGTCAGGAGAGAGCGGTCTGTTGCCTGGCTTCAGCGAGTTATTTTTGCAATCTCCTAGTGCTGATTTGGGCATTTTTAACTTCAGGGTGATCCTGGGAGGTGGGTAGAACAGTGTGTTCTCTAGTGCACTTGTCAGGGTATGGCCTGTGTGAGAAAAAGATGAGGAAGCAGAAGATGAGAAGACTTTCAAAAAAGAGCTAATCGCTTCTTTACCTGTAGGGTTTTACGGACTATGAGAAGGTCATTCAACAAGAAGCATTTGCAAACAGTTACTGTGAAATTATGTTAGGACATTAAAGAGAAGTCAGGCAACTGAAAACAGCTCCGTATCACTTACCAGCTCAGCATTTAGGTACGCATTTTAGAATTTTGATTAAAAACAATAACGTCCCCTTTCATGGGACTTTAAGCCAGTGAACTGAAGCAGTTTTGAGACGTGACTGAAGTAGTTCCAACGGAATTATAAAAACCTCACATCCAGCTTTGGATAGAGAAAAAACAATGCTTCAAGCTGAGTTGCACTTTGGACTTAGTTCAGTTCTCTGCTTTGTTTTATAAAATTCTCTGTTTTAAACTTCTTTTCACTCCAATATATTAGTCACTGTGATATAATACGCTTGCATCACCACTGCAAAATAGTTATCAAAACATTCTAATAAGCTTTAAAAAGTACTTGGCTTTGTCTTAGTAGACATTTCTAATAAAATCTCATTACACAAAACCAAAGAGCTTTAGAGTACTGCTGCTTCCACCAAGTATTGTAGAGTCATAGAACAGCCTGGGTTGAAAAGGACCAAAATGATCATCTGGTTTCAACCCCCCTGCTTTGTGCAAGGTCACCAGCCACCAGACCAGGCTGCCCAGAGCCACATCCAGCCTGGCCTTGAATACCTCCAGGGATGGGCATCCACAGCCTCCTTGGGCAACCTGTTCCAGTGTGTCACCATCGTCTGAGTGAGGGTGTGTCCTGGTCTCATCCAAAACAGTTAAAAAAACAAAAACCTGTCAGTGCTAACAAAGCTTATCCATGATTCAAGAGTAGAGAAAAAACACGAAGCTTTCACTTTAAGAAGGTTATGGAAAACACAATAAGTATCTTCAACAAACATCAAGATTTCTATTTCACGCTGCAGAAGCAATTACCTTCCTATTAAAAAAAAAATAAATGGCACTGTAATATATACTCTTTCCAAATCATAAAATATCCCAAATTGGAAGGGACCCATAAGGATCACTGGGTCCAGCTCCTGGCTCTGCATAGGACCACCCAAAGTTGTGTTCCTCATTTCAGGACACAGATTTCATAAAAATTAAGGGTGGAGTTTGTTTTGGTACAAAGCAGTTACTATTCACTGTTAGAAACAAGAGTGCTTAAACTCTTTTTGAAGGAAGTTTAGTAATTGCAGACCACAAGCTAAGAAATGCCCCTCTGTAACGCTCATCAAGTACTCAAGGCAACATGAGAACAGCAATTCCTATCAGTCACTCTTCTCTTCTGCCGGAAGAAATTAACTACAGCAAGCAAAAAACTTCTCAGTTGGAGAGTAGAGCTCGCTGTGGGCAAACAGCAGCATGAGACAGCAGCCCAATGAAGCAAAAACCTAGAGATCTCCATCAGTTTGTTTCTGCTTCCTGGATGCCACAGTAATTGGAAACTAACTGGCATATGGCAGCAGCATCTATGGAGTAAGAAGAGATCCAACTCAAGATTTTAAAACATCAGTGTTTGCGGGTGTTGCTAAATTAATAAATGGTATATCCAAAGAAAGTTTTTATAAAGGCAGCTGTCAAACATTAAAACACTAAGCAGAAATTTAATGGGAACTTTTTTTTCAGTTTGTTGTAACCTATAAATATTTTACATTCATATGATTACCTGCAGCAATTTCCTGATTAATGAGCTGAACTTGCAAATTGAAGACCTGTTCATGTACTTTACTGTGAGACAGCTTCAGTTTCTCTCTCCTGCTTACCATGTAGCAGAGATTTCTTACCTGCAAAAGAAACAACACTCAGTATAAAATTAAAAAAAAAAAAAAATCTTGACTTAGGAAAAATATTGGCTCAACAACAGAATTATAGAAACATTGTGAGCAAAATCCCTTGGCAAACACCTCATGAATGTTACTGAACAGATGTAACTATGAATATAAAACAAATCCTGCATTTTTTTTTAATTGCCAGTTTACTGAATGCCCTGATGAGACAGCAGAATGTATTTTCATACATTCTTCATGAAGAACAGAAAGGGAACACAAAATTCCAGTCAAAGGAAAAGCACATGATCTGTACAGCTTGTTTGTTTGAAGCCTACTTCCACCACACATTATGCTGGGGATCTTACTGCAGTCAATACTCAGTTCTCCCAGAATTTCCTTGCAAAATGTTTCACAGAATGATTTTTAACAGCTAAATTTGTTCGTTTCTCCTAGGATTACTGTTACATTGGAAAGTAATACTTTTAACAAAGCTACTCAGCCAGTAGAGCTGGCATGCCTGGACTTTACGTTTACACGTCTGGAATTAACGTGTAAATCACCCCTAAAAGAACGCTGCAGCTTCTTGTGCATTTTACACATTTTTGTTGATTCATTCAGCAGTTTATTGTCAGACTCCATTGCAATTCTGCACATATTTCTGCTTTCACTGTTGGAGTTAATAGCAATATTTCCACCTAGAGTAACGAAAATAGGAAGAGATGAAGAAAGTTGTGATACAGACCTGAAAGAGCCTGCAGAACACAGAAGCAGCACAGCGGCTGGCTGAAAGATACTTGCCACATGTACTTCCCCCCAACACTTAACTTGAGCTGCTCAGAAACTGAAGCCTCTCTCCCCAGAAAGGAAATTCCAAGATTCCCAAATTAATTTTCACCTAAAGACATATCTGAATTGGAAATCTTACGGTGTGGGAAATTCAGAAACTTTGAGATAGATTTCAAACTACCAAGTCCCTCCACTCAAAGTAAACTCATCCATTTCAACACAGTCAGATATAAAACAACTACTCTTCGAACAAAAAGGAAAAGCTTGAAATGCTTTATTGAGAAAGCAGACAAAAAAAAACAAAAAACAAACCTTCCATTCAAAGCACGTCATGTATGTATAGAATATACATACATAACATATTTAGGTAGGGAACAAATTCCTGCTCCGGATTTTGCTCAAGGACTCCATCTTTTCTGAATGCTGGCTAGCTGATAATCTGGTAAAGAGCCAAGCTGAATACTGGTAAAAAGATCATTTCCTTTTTACTCTACTCAGCAAAGCCGCAGGCAGTGCTAGGCCTGGTGGGTTGTTTTCCAACAGCTAACTAACTGTAGCATCCTGGGCAGCTACGTGCAGGGAAAGTGTCCAATTTAAGAGCATGAGATGTGATTCAGCCGTCCTTAACCTAGGGCTAGCTGACAACAGCACACTGTCAAAGAAGGGAGGTGAGTAAGGGGCCTGGATCAGGTGCCACGGGAAGCCGTCTGAGCACAAGCCAGCATTCTTCTTCGTGTGTGAAACCAAAAAGCCTCTACAGTAGTTAACCCAGGACTTCACCTAATTGCCCTTTAACTATGAGGGCGAGAAGGTCTGTTTCAAGTTTTTGCAGAATTCCTAAAAATGTTAAATCACACTCACCAAAGAATACTTGGTGCTTTACCTAGGCAAATTCAATTTACATTGAAATCAAAGAGTCAGTGCTCAAGTGCGTCCATTGTGCATGGATACAGTTACATTATATAAAGGAGAATCCTCTAAGCAAGGCAGGAAGCGTGGTGCTCACAGTGGATCTCTCACTGAACTGAAAAGGGACAGCTCCTGAAAGCCTCTGCAACATGCAGCATACCACCAGAACGGAGTTCAAGCCCTTACCTTTTAATCATTATTATTTCATAAATCATCTCCCTGCGCTTCTCTCATCCCCACTTTTGTTTGGACAAAGCTGCTGCTCACTTGCACATCGTTTTTGCTAGTTAAACTCTTACCCTCTCTAGGTCCTGCCTCAAATGCATGAACATCCTCATGCGAGTATGAATGCTATCTTCTTTTGGCTGCACCAAGCCATTTTCTTCATCCTCCTTGGGAGGAAACAAAGGTTTGTTAAAGTTACTTTTTCGCTTTAGTTTCCAGTAATTGTAGATGAAGTCTACAGCAAGTTTAGGGAGGCCCAGTTCTGCTGCAACATCCTCCACTTTAACCAGTGAGTAAAACTCTTCTTCCAGCTCCCGGAGTTTCTGGGCTCGCAAACTGGTTTTCTCACTCTCTGTTTGCTTCTGATCTGTTATGCTCTTGGGATGTTCATCAACATCAGGCAGCGAAATCTGTTTGTTCTTGCTGTGCTTTAGACAGTATGACTTGAATTTGACCTCATCCCCATCATCCAGGATAGTCTTCATCTCTAAGCTATGCTCAAAGGCACAGGTGACATGAAAGGCAGTGATGCAGCTTTTCACTGAACACTACAAATGAAAGACATAAAACAAGAAAGTCGCTAAGGGTAGTCACAAACCAGGAAAAAAACATAATTACATGAAATTTTGTCCCTACTAAACCAAATTTAAGTACCCTGAAGAAGTCAGCTGATATTTCTAAGTCAGAATCACGTGATCTGTTATTTTTTCATCTGTGAACAGCATTCAGTGATTTCTGATCCAATTGGTGGATTTCTGATCCAACTTAATGCATCTCAGCCTCATTCAAAGGAAGGCAATTGATAGAAACTTCTCACTGTCTGTGCTAGACTGCTTAGGGAACCAATTTGTTAGCAGCCACAGTGATATGGATAGGGAGCTATCCAACAGTTGTCTTCATGAATAAAGTTCAAAAACCTTAAAGTCCCCATCTTGCAGACTCAAGAGTCACAGGAAGACAAATACGTACCTGAATGCAAGCACCGGTTTTCAGTTTGCATAAACTACACACTAAAGCCCATCGACTTGGTGGAATGTGAGAGACCTTTGTGATCGGCTCCATCCTTTCTGGGCAAGCAATACTAACCTGAAAATAAAAGACAGCATGGAAAGCAGTTATCAAGGCAATAAAAACAATCTCTTCGCTAATACCAGAAGTATGACTGTGAGTATGACCGCCATTTATCTCATTCAGAGATCTCTGTGTGCTCATACTTCATAACAAGTGACTTGAGGAGATTCCACGTGAACAAAACAATATTGTGGAATGCAATTAGTTTAACCTGGTGGCTAGAAGTCATCGTTTTTCAGAACGTTTTAGGCAGCTACAGCATGCCTTGTTATGAACCATTTAAGAGACTGCAGCAAGTGATAGCAAAGTTTATTCCCTTTCAATTCTGTCCATCTATCTACTGTGATAAAAATTTATCAGCCAATATTTGCCCATATTGGGAAACTAAGACTGTCCTCTATAACTTGGACACCAGAACAGATGAAAATTATCTCCTTAGTCATCCCCAAGATGCTCCTTAGCAATAGGATTTACCCAAGGGCAGAACAAAATTAGTCAGCTCTGAGTGATCAACATGCAGAAGTGGGTCAGTAACCCAATGGCACGTGGCAGAAGACTTCGGTGACATAACTGCTCTGCCCCAAGGGTGCCAGTTTCCAGAAGCTTGGATTTTGGATGCTTACATAAAGATCAAAAATCTTTTGAATACAGCGGTTGTACGCTAGGGAGGGCTACCTGCCTGAAACAGAAATACGGCGCTTCATCCAGCTACAAAGAGCTCCACGCTTCTTACTGACAGTTCACCTGTTTTGCCACTGATGGGATAGGGGCCTCTTTGCAAAGGTACTTCAGCTATCACCTGATGCACACATTAATTTTAAAACCTGCTTAATCCCCGATGAAGAAAAACTTTGTTTCACCAGACCTCCTCTGTGAGGCAGGCATCGCCAAAGATAGCAATGCCAACTTTAGCAAGTCTGAAAGTCCAAGCTGCTACTCCCAAACTGAGTATTTTTGACACTCTCTCTTTCCTATCTTTTTCACTGTTTTGAACAACAGACAATTAGGTGAGAAAGAAAGCTTGCAAGAGATTACTCCATCCATTATTTTTGCATTTTAAGAGGTTGATTAGTAGTTTCTAAACCAATGACAAAAATTGACTCCAATAAGATTTGTTATATAACTTAAACCAAGCCATATTTTCTGCAATATGCCAAGGTCAGCCAGTGTTGTATGGCATTCCTATTTAGCCCAGTGACAACTGTGTGCACCCGTCTCTGATCTACAGCATCCAGGAGGCCCGTAGCAGCTGCACTCAGCCTTCTCTTTGGCCAAAACCAGAGTCAGAAAAATTCTTGGGGAAAAACAACAGGACTTTGCACCTAAAAAATGGGCAGGCAGTATGCAGTGTCCTCATCAGGTAGAGATGAAGAATAATTTCATTTGTTGAGGACTTCCTATAAATCAGCGGGAAAGAGACAAAGCTGTCCTTGAAACTCTTGAATGGTTCCACAAATTCAGGTTCAGCACTCTTAAATGGCAAAGGTAGCTTTTCTGCTTCCAAATTGACCAATCCAACTTGACCCTGCTAAGAACAGAGCTGGTTACAAGTTGTACAGGTACTTCTAAAATAACATTGTACAAACATTGACCACAAATCTTGTTTCATTTACTAGAGCAGTAGGCAAGATTTCCCTTGGGAATTATGGGGTTGCACCAGTTTCCATGTTGCCTATATACCTTTCAAAAAGTAACCTGAAATGTCAGTGATTTTTTCTGTAGGCAGTTGCACCAGCTTTTCACTGTGCATACCAGCAGGAGTTGGAACTCACACATACTCTTCTTGTCACTCTTTGCCCCTTTTCATCCTCTCCCTGCTCCTTCTCCAGAAATATTTATGTTAGAAATATTGCCCATTCAGCTTGCAATGCTGCCTGTTTATGTTACTCCACTTTGTAAAAACACAAAGAGGTGCTTGGAGTCAGGTGCAGTTTATTTATACTGGCCTCCTGCCGCCTGCGTGTTTCTAACGTTCAAAGAGAGGAGTCAAAGCGAAGCCTGTTTGAATTTCACTGTTCATGAGGGATCCAGAGAGCACAGAAGCCAACCTTTCCACTTCCCAAAACCTCCCATCCCGAGATAGAAATGACTGCCTGCCTTAACACATAGCTTCTCTGTTATTTCTCCGTGTTGTGTCCGGTTACACTTTGTCTGCCATACTCTGAAGAAGTAACAGTGGGAGAGAGTGAGAACAGCGGGCTGTTGAAGCCTGCTCTCTCCAATTTATGCACAGAGCTGACATCTCTGTTGTCACCCTGCTATCTGCTGCTCCGCTGATGGCCTGCCACCAGCAGCTGTGTGTTAGCGGGCAGTGATCCACACCAGAGGCTGGGGAGGCACCCCAGCAGCTGGAGCACAGCCGCTCACAGCAGCGGCTGAAGGCGGTCATTTGATAGTTCTGCAGCTGTAGCAAGGAAAAATTACTATCTGCTTCAGCCAACAACGCACCGACCAAGGGAAGACATATCTGCCATCCGTCATCTAAGGCAGAGAAATGAATTTCAAAACAACGTACATTTTCTGATGACAAAGTCTCTCCCTTTTTTCCAAGAATATCTTTTAAGAAATCACGGAAGAAGAGACACGTTTACACTAACAGACAATGCTGGCAGAAGAATAAAAAGGATAAAAATCAACAATGAGTACGCTTTGTAAAAACCTTCAAATGTCCCAAACTCAGTGAGGGTCAAGACAGCCTTCCCACACCATTAGCTCATGAGGAGAGGGAGGCAGGGAAGAAACAGAACAAAACAAAGCATTCTAAGAGGGTGCTGAATATATTGGTGATGGGAAGTACCTGGTGCAACTGCCTACAACAATGCTAGCCTATATTTGTGAACTCATTCAAGTCCCTCTTGGATCTTTTACCACAAACATGAGGATGGCCCATTTTCCTCTGCACTCTGCCTTGCCCCATTTTGTTAGGGGTGTAGTGGGGAAGTGGCAGTGACTTTATTATTTGTTTCTTTGTGGGGTGTTCCAGGGGAGTAAACATTCTTCCATAAGGTATTTCAAGGTCTTGAAAACTCTGTCCCTTTCTAGTCTCCCAGAGCACATAAAGCCATGGTGTCTCTCCACATAAACCCACTGTTTCAGCGGAGATTCTCAAAAAAAAGCCAGGCTTCTCTGGTGACGGAATTGTAGTTCATTTTGCTTTTAAAAGCACCACATGCAGAAGAAGAGGCTGAACGGATCCAAGAGGCATTTCCCACTTCTCCTGGCAGGTGCCACCTCCTTGCTATGCCTGACACACTTGGCATGGGCACAGAGAGGAGGAGGTGCCTGAGGCCTGGAGCCATTGACTGGGCTGTGGGAGCAGCTGGATTCAAGCTCTCCCACCTGGGCAACTCTGCTGGCTGCTCTCCCTCAGCCGGAGGGGGGTGGGCAGGTAAGAAGCAGCAGGTGCTCCCTGTCCCATGGTCAGCTGCTTTCCAAACCTGCCAGTTCATCTCCTGCTGGGGAGAACATCAAGGCAACCACATGCAGAAAGAACCTCTTAGGGAAACCAGTCTGCTCAGAGCTAGGACAACTTCCAGACAAGGCACTTCAGGAGTGCATGAGGAGAAGGCAGGAGACTTTTATTTATTCATTTTAATCTTTTTTTGTTTTGTTTTTTTCCTCTGCTCCTTTCTCCCTAAAGGTGGGTGAGACACCAGATCTACAAGCTGGCCTGAAGGGAAAGTAGAACTGCAAAGATAATGATAATCAGATATATGCCTGGCACAGAGCTAGGAGCTGCGCACCGCAACAGGCTGCCATATTAAAAAGCCATCCAGAATCTTGACATCTTCTTTGTGAAGTTTTGCAAATGCAAGGCCTGGCTGCTTGAGAGCAGAAGGTTTGGGAATAAGGCACCCCGCAATGTCACGGTGCCAACAGATGTGGCTGCAACCTTACACTACGCCATTCACTCTAAGGGATCTACAGATCTTACCAGAAGGAAAGCACAAGTATCATTCTGAGTACAAAATTAAACACACACATCCTCTATACCTGAATGACTATTTCAATTTACAGAATTATAAATGATGCTAAATCTGATTCTAAATAGAGGAAATGCAAATTTTCATCATTAAGCTCTACATATGAACACAAACATCAATCTAAATAGTCATGCTTAAAAAATATAACACAGAAGAAAAAAGCCTCATTTCTCCACCATTCAGGAAAATGTCTGATTTTAGTGCGAAGAACTTGTCTACAAACATCTCCCCATCTTAGAATCCATCCAATACATCATAGAATGGCCTGGGTTGAAAAGGACCACAATGATCATCTAGTTTCAACCCCACTGCTATGTGCATATATATCATCCAATGATGATGTGTGATATATATCATAAAATATGCCTGTTTTTTTGTCTCAAAAAAAAAGAAAAAACAAAAAGGACGTATTCAGTGCAAATTATATACCTAACCAAGAGCACAAAAACTGATCAAGAACTAAGGGAGATAAGGATGCTGCAGTTGTGCAGCGATCACTGGCTTACATCACTAAACCTTTCCAGCAGGTCACTCAGATCTCATGACACCATGAAGAGACTGCTCAGTAAATGGGGAAGGACAAAGAGATTAATTAATTAATGAACATGAGCTGGACTCTCTCCCAATCCTCAACAGATTCTGCAGACTCACCAGAATAACACCCATGCAGATACCTTAAATCACGAAAGGTGAAAAGGTAGAGGAAGGAACACTGAGAAGGCAGAGAAAGGAGATTAGAATACAAAAGAATGAGACAGAAATTCAGCTTTACCTCTGGAATCCAGAGAGCACAGCTCACATGTGCCCACTTGGTCCCTGTCCTGGTGGCTTTCATTGCACCTCCTCGTTTTGGACACAGGAGGCACTGAGGATGTATTCCCAGAACACAGGTGCGGCACAGCCAGCTCCCTTCAGGGACTTTCAAGATTCCATAGCATGCCTTGGAAGAGCACAGGGATTGAGATCATTGCACTGATAGTATTTTACATCCAAAGATTAATTCTCATACGGCATGAAGCTTACAAATCCTAAAAGCACAGTTTGCCCTTTACTTAATCTTTCTCTAATTTCCTTAAAAGGAGTCAGGTGATCAAAGAGATTGACAACCTATTAAAACAAGCCTTTTCATGCCAGTTTATTTTTAAAACATGTCTTGGTGTTATTTGTTCCTGTATGAAACAGCCATTGTAACTGAACACTGGTGTTACAACCTTCACCTTTGCATTCAGTGTCTTTTTATGTTTCTGAAGCAAAAAACAGGCATCTCTTTAAGCTCATAGTCTTCTACTGTTAACAACTTTATGCTCTAATGTTATTCTATTCAGAGGTGAAGTGATAAGAACTGTTTGAAGATTCTTTCCTGTGACATTAGATTACTTTTGTGGTTACAGTTCTGAGAACCGTTTGTGACTTCAATTTATATATAATATTGCCTCAAAAATTACAACAGTATATTCTGAAATCACGAGGTTCTGCTTTTTACGCCTGTTTCCCTGAGGCCTCTTAGAAACTGAGAGATTTATTAACTTTTACTAAGTTTGAAGACAAAAATGAAACTTACGTTCAGGTTCAGGTTCCTAGCAGTTCTTAACAGCTATCTATACCTGCACTAGACACATCCTGCTGCATGGACACACGTATTCAAGCTGACCATATTTGAAACCATTGGTTGCCAAGGTGCAACTCCACTCAGCTGCCCCCAATAACAGCTTTATCAATAAAGCAGATTTCAAAGGAAATAACACCATTCCCAACACATACCAGGGAACAGTAACATTGAAAGCCTTGACAGAAGATTATTAGCTATAACCCAGTCTCTTAGATTCAAATAGAGTACAAATTCCCCATGCTTGCTTTCCCAGCCTTCTAGTTATAGGATCTTGGTACTTAATGTGGAGAGATGTCCAATATTGCACAATCATGCTATGCTGAGAGGGAGAGTGAGTTCCCTGAATGAAATCCTGCATTACGAAAGCATCAAGTCAGACTAACCCAAATGTTATTTTCACGTTTGACTGTTGCAAAGGCCCAACAGGGGGAGCTGTAATCTAAATTTTACAAAAGATTTTTAGTTCCTGCTAAATGGTACATTCTCATCAACACTTTATATTACCAATTGCAAGGTTTGGAAGGGACTTCTAGAGATCACTGAGTTCAAGTGGCACTACACCAAAAGAACACTTTTAGGAGGCTGGAAATGGACATACAACACTTCCTAATTCAATCCAGCTAGTCAGTGGAGGTGGTCTAGACTAGAAAACCAGTAATTTAGCAATCTGAGCCAGCATGAGAGGGCACTGCGAGGGAGGAAACCTCACACACTCCTCTGCATCTCCAAGTGGTGTTCTGACAAACAGACCGAGGCTGCTTGGTGAACTAGAGCCCATCCAGAATTAAACCTGAACCGATAAATATTTTTGGTTGGTTGTTTGCTGCTATGCTTTGTTAGGATTAGCTCCAGCCCAGCTTCTGCAGAGCAGGTCCAGATCCTGTGGCTGGGGAAGAGGCAGAGTTAGAAAGCATCAGGCCATCAGCTCCAGCTCTGCAGGCAACCCCAAGCCTTGTGCTGCAAATTCCTCCATATTTTCAAGGGGCACAAGCAGGGGCTGCCTCTGGAGCCAACAGCCCAGCTGTAAAATTCCTTCTCAAACAGGATGCACTAGAAACCACAGAGCTCAAATCCACTTTAGTTATGAGGATACCTCTGCCTGATGAGGCTGAGCTCAGTCTGTGCGAAGTCCTGCCTACATCTGAAACACCACAACCATGAGCAGCATTCAGACTGAGAACACAGCTCTTGCAGGTGCTTGTGCCCTCTAAAAAAATCAGTCTGTTAACACATCTAAACACATGGTTTCAAGTGGCTAAATTTGGAGCCAATTAACCAGTCAACCAATGAGAGAAATACCCCAGCTGCAAAACAAATGATCTTTTAACATATAGGCTGCTGCCGGCATCCTCTGGCCTGCTTATTTACAAATGCAGGTTTACTAAGGATGTGGAGGGGAAGTGTTTATGATTGTATTTGCAAGTCCAGACAACACTTCACGTTACAGCTAGGCTACACAGACTATGCTCAGCCATTTATCTGCTGTAATTCTCAGAGTACAAAACTTGACCTTGGTATTCTACACCACCTTTCGTATCCAGAGAATCACAAAGGCCTCCAAATTAAAACTGATTCAAATTCCACACTTGCCAAGGTAAAGAAAGACAGGGCAGCGTCAATACTTCTGCAGGCACTGACCTGATGGACGCAGATATTACACTTGTCACAAAACACCATATCGTTCCCATCTTCACTGTCAGGAGAGCGGCACACGTCACAGATGACATCTTCATCGTACTCTATACCCAGACCTTCTTCAGTCTCAATAGCGTGATTCATATTCTCATGACAGTGTCGCTCCAGCACTTCAATAGTTTTTTCCATCGTGTTTTCATCCAGGGGCCCGCATCCTACAGTGCAGAATAGGGAAAAGGGAAACAGAAAACACTCAGATGCCTCTGACCAAGTCTGAGAGGCAGAAAAACAGGACAACTTCTAGCAACTACTGCAGTACAAACATTACTTACATCAAAAATAAAGGAATCTTTTTTCCAGCTCGCTTGCTAATATTACCTCTACCTCATAAATACAAGTAGAACTACTACTGGAGTAAAAGTTTGAGTTGTACATAAGACTACATGTTGAAAAAAGCACTACAGCATGAAAGTCAGCAGCTTCTATAACTTCTTGCTTCTCTCATGCAAGTCTGCCTCCAACTCCATCATTCTAGGAAGCACTGATGACTCAACATCATACACAATGTTCTTTATTCTGAAGACAAATCCCTTAGCAAATAAAACTTACCAAGTACATGTTCAATGTTATATGTCATCAGTACAATGTTATGAAGATATAAAAGTTGCCATCAGTCCTTGAGCTGCCAGCACAATGCATATGAAAGGAGCTCTTATCCATTTTTTTTTATAAAACAGTAAATAAATGCACTGTTAGCAATCCATGGCACCCATTTACTTGAACACTATGCCTGCTATACCCACTTAGCACTAATAAAATGCAGTGTAAGCAGATCTACTTGAAAGGATTTGTTTTGAGATTGATCTCTCAGCTTGCAGCTGTAGAGACACCCTTAGAAACTCTACAATGTTCACAGCTACAAGAAATCTCAAAGTCACATCCCCTGAAAAACATCAGTCACAAATGCTGCCATCTCCTATTGTACAAAATTTACTTAGACTAGCAAAGGTTGGGACATCCATGCAGCACTGATACCAGAGGCTAACACCACTGTAACTGCTGGATTATGTACAAGAATACATGTACTAATATTGATTTCTTGTTACAACTGATAAACAATGAGATGGAAAAGATAAATGATTGCTGATATAAAGTGTCTGTTATTAAACTGTTTTCTTTAATGCCAGGATATTTTTTCACTCCTCTTATAAAAAGAATCAGAATAATTTAGGCAGGTACAGACCTCAGAGGGATTCAGTCCAGCTCCCTGCTCCAAGCAGGATCAACACTGAATCCAGATTAGGTTGCTCAGTAACATCTTTAAGTCAGATCTTGAAAATCTCTGGATGGATAGAGACTCCAGCCCCAGAAAAGCTCTGGTTTTGAAAACAGCACCCAATATGGCTAGGAAGCCTGTCCTCACACCTGCCTTTAACATACATCATTTGACTGTGGAGCTCTGTCATGAGCTCCCTCCTTTACCACGTTGGTCTCCTGACACATCTATTTGTTTTCCTGAATGCCTGGATGATCATTCTTGTGCTTGGAAGAGACTGTCCTTAAAGTTTTGCTAACTCTATCCAGCAATTTCACCCTTCAGAGCTGCCTTGCAGCAGCATATCCAACCCAGCAGTTCCCCAGATAAGCAGAAGATTGTTCTCCTAAGTCCAGGACCAGAAGCTACTTTCTCTCTTTGCTGCCCTCAAGATCTCAGTCTCCACTATTTCATAGCTGCCACAGCCAATGCCACCACCAATTAACTC